CAAGCCAGAAGATGGCAGGGAACACACGCCAGAAGAATGTGTGCCAGGAGGGCCACGAGACCCAGTCAACTGTTTATATGGTAGCGCATTGGCGGGCGAGCAAGTCCGTAGCTTCTTCCCGGTTCAGGTTTGGCAGCTTCTTGTGCCAGAAGTCAAGAAGCTATCTATAGATACTCTAGAAAGCTTTTGCTCTGCAGTTGGTCGGCTTCCTGCGCTGGTGGCCGTTAGACCCGCTGCCGCCCATGCAACCTGCCACGCACCTCGGATGGCTTACTCAAGTCCACCTTTGGTGCGCTCAGTATCTTCGTGTTCAGTCAATTCCAGCTCTTTGTGAGCTTTCGGTGCCATGCCAGGTTTGGTGGTTCGTGGCTTTGCCACTGGGAGACAGCTCCGGGGCATGACAACATCAAGGACAAGCGTATGCATGCATGCATACAGACTGTATGGTCCTACACGGTACTCCCCAAATGATAATAGGCACGACGAATTAAAGAGAGCCACTCGGAAGGAGTGCCGAAGTCCATTACTTACGTGCATGCCTCGCTACATAGCTGATCCAGAAACTCGACGCGTTTGGAACAACTACCAGTCTCATTACAAAGCGTATTTCTGTTGCGCTAGGCAAGATGGCTCTCACCTGGCGAGCTTCAGTTGGAGTGGGCCTCAAGCACTAAGAAGCTTCGTTATCCATGAGGCCAAACTTTGGAATGTGAGATTTGAGATTTGGGTTTAATGGTGACAGACCATTCGCCTGCCCCCTCTCCTGAGGAATTAAGCCCGGCTCAGGGGGCAGCCGGGAGTGTTGGAATGTTGGGGTGAGACGTCGAGATCCTGAGAACAATATTGTAGTCCTGTGTTTATTGTCTGAGGGAAAGAGTCTGCGAGCTACCNNCCCCCCCCCCCCCCCCCCACGAAGCATGGTTTCCAGGGCTCGATTCCCAATCGGCTTATTTTCCGGATTTGGAGGTTCTTGAGCTTGCCATTGTTGAGGATGAAGTCGGGCTTGGTGCAGCGATTGTAGTCTTCTTGTGAAGCCAAAAGACCAAGCAGAAGGAACGAAGGTGGCGGCTACTTGCTTCGTTCTTACCCCCCTTTGGTCGTTTCGTCTGTAATCCTGCCGGAAAAAGAGGGCCGGACAATTACTTTACTACTCAAACCGACTGTATTGGTCAAGCTTCCAGTGTTTTTCCGACGACGGTAAGTGCTCCCCTTGAGGTCGGCCCAGCAGGGACGAAGGCTGATCCTCCCTTCAGCTGAGACATGCTTAGTGCACTGAAAGAGGGACGGAAGTGTCGAAAAAAATTGGTAAAGACGAAGAGCTGTGTGCTTGTGCTGACAGGCAGGCGAGGTGTGCGGCTGGTTGGAGGAAGATATCGGCTTTGGGGCCGACTTCTCTGCAGCCTGACTGCACGAAACTGGGCCCGGAAACGCCGAAGAGTAAGCCGAAGAGCATCTTCGGGTCTGAGCCAAGTTGAATGTATGTACACGTGCTTGTGCAATCGGTGGGATCGGCACCCTTTTCCTAAGGTGGTCTTGATCCAGGAGACCGCTGAGCACTCCTTGGTCTTTCAGATCTGAGCCTTGACCTTGGCTCTCGCTCAGGACCTGCCTGGCCTCGGCCGCTGCTCGCCCATCACCGCACCAGCAGTCATGCACGGCGCTGGTCCCCCAGATTTCCCCAGCCTTCAGTATCTCTTTAGAGTTCTTGAACTGCCAGCCCCGAACATGAGATGACTAGAAGCAACGGGCCGCAACAAAGCTTCCTGCTGGCGGGCTCTTGAGAAGAGTGAAAGGAAGAGGTGAGAGCCACAGAACAACACGCACTGCATTCTGCATGCCGACATCCGACAGACTCGAGCTGTTGGTTGGAACAAGCTCCGACAGCAGAAACAAACAAAGTCGCAGACAGCTTTCGCGTGGCCAATGTCTCCCATGTCAGCTGTTCTAGCAGACGAGGCCGGGGCTGGTGCTAAGTTCCTCGGTTAGTAAGGTTAGTAAACAGGAGAGAGCGGTTTTGGGAGAGCTGCGGCAACTGCAGAGCATTACTACTGTCGGTTCGAACAGGAGCATGCCGGCTCCAAAAAGGAGGGCTACGCAAACATGGCGCCAGTTGATCCAGGTGACTGCACGAATCACTGATATTTGGCACTGCTGTTGACCCACTGCCCATTGTCCCCATAATGGTTGCCGAGATTTGTCGAGGCATCCCACGGATGACGCCAGAAGTACTGCTCAAATCTTGCATGGAGAATCGCGGCTACGAGACGCCAGAGCTCAACGAAGTTCTGATTCTCCACTACAAGGGCCCTGCGGCACAACGGTTCCGTCCCCCTCCATGCCCAAACCATGCCCTAGAAGCAGGGGGTCAATCACCAGCTGAGGCTTCCGCAAAATTGAAGGCTTGGAGGCTTACTGGAATGTGCGATCGCTCTTCCTCGAATGCAACGGCATCAGAAAGCTTGAGAATTTGGAATGCATGCCAGAACTCGTCTCGTTGCCACTTGGATGTGTTAGTCCGCTTGTTCAATTGGGCACTGGGTTGCTGCCGCGTACGGCTTCGGCAAGGTATGTGCAGTCCAACTGCATCGCTGAAATCGAGGGCCTTGACACCTTGCGGAATCTGCAATACCTCAACCTCTCGCATAACAGCCTTAGCCGGGTGCAGGGATTACAAAACCTGCATCGGCTGGAAACCTTGAACCTTTCTGCACCCCGGCTGCAGCCACGGAAGGTTGGCAAATGCATCTGAGATGTTGGAGCCATGCCGGTCTGCCATGTCAGGCCAACAAGATGGAGGACGTCGCTGCACTGGCTACTTCTCCTCTTTATTGTTGCTCATATATGGAGTAGTGAGTAGGGCAGTAGCGTGGCTGAGGGAGGGAGCTGCTTTTGGCAGCTTGCCAAGGCTGGGCTCGCGGAACGGCCAACGCTGAAAAGTGTGGACGTGAGCTGTTCCTCGGACGTTTTTTAACGTTTGTTCTTCCTATATACAGCAGACCAGAAGCGGTCTCGGAAGAGGGCCTCTGAGATTCAGATTCTGATCAACTGGTGGGCTAGAGACGATGCTGCCACGGTCCATGTCACGAGGCAACTATTTCGAGGATGGCGAGTCCCTCCTTGCCTTCTGGAGCGAGCATCTGCCACAGGTACATGGCAAGGGTCGCAACCATTGGTTCGATGAAGCTAGCTGTGACACACCACTACTCCTGTTTTGGGGTCTTTTGAGGGCTTAGTGGGCAAGCTGGAAGCGGAGAGTGCCTTTTGCAGCAACTTGAGTGAACTCCCGGAGACCCTGGCTCGTGCGAGCAGTGCGACACACCGTCATGTAAGGACCAGCTTCCCTTGCCCTGAGGTGGAATGCGTGTACATACATCACAACCCTTGCTCGAGGGCACTCAAAGACGCCAGAAGACCCTTGGCAAGATAGTGGGTGGCGTCGGACTTGCGGTGCAGGTTCCGCTGGCTGGATTGCGACGAACTAGCCTTGCGGAAATAACATCTCTGCCATGTCTTGACTGAGCCTGGGCATTGCAGCTCGTCGTGTGATGTCGTGTGCCGCCGCCCAGGGCGCTTGGTGTCCACCCTGCCAAAGCTTCGGTGGATCGACGAGCGTCCTGTCACCGCCATTGCCGCGTCGCAGCAATGCGGTGCCGGGCAGGGCGGCTTTCGAACTGCTGCGGTGAGTGCTCATTATGTAGCAATGCTGTGAATTTAGGAGAGGGCCGGCTGTGAAGCCTGGGCCCAGGGAGGAAAGGACGCAGAGCTAAGTGCCAAGCAGGAGGGTGGGTTGTGCATGTTTCATGATGCGATATTCTCTGTTTCTGTTTGCTGGCCGTATGAACATGCCGCTGCACCGTGGGTCACACTGCGAAATCGCACAGGACTTTTGGCGAAAGGAGAAGGACGAGAAGCAACGCAGCTTCGAGAACTTTCGGCGCGTTCAGAAGGCCGCTCTGAGTGACTCCTCGGATATTGACAGTTTCGACTTCGTGTCGCAAACGCCATGCAGTGTTCTGGAGGCTTACTCCGAGCGCGCAAAGGCGCAGCGGCAGGCTGAAGAGGCACGCAGCGCGGCGCGCCAGCAGGCCGCAGCCGACATGGAGAAGACGGGCCCGGCACCCCAGCGCTTGACAGTGCGGTGCAGAATGTTCGGAAGAGCATTTTGTGTCGCCCCGTCCATGTTCTCATTTGAGGCGTATTGGCCGAGGGCTATGTTCTCATGCCGGACAAGACGAGACCTACTACTGCACCTGCTGGAGGATATCCGTCTCACTCGGAGCAGAACAAGGAAGTCCTTGCGAAAGTCCAGGCGATCTTGATGAGCCGCAAGGAGCAGGCAGCAAAGGATGCTCAGACGGTGGCGGTGGGGGTGCATGGCAAGGATGGTCTGTCAGAGGATGTGCCGAAGTCTACCAGCACGAGCAAGACTGTGACGAAGACGTCTGTGATCATGCATGAGCCACAGGGGCCCAAGGGCGAACAATCCCAGCCCGAGTCCAAGGAGAATGGCACCCCGCAGCTCAAAAGCCCAGAAGAGGCCACAAACTGTGTCCAAGAAGCGGACGAGTCGGAGACGAAGGAGGCGCAGCTGGTGGCGACCGCAAAGGGTGAATACCATCCTCTGCGGCAGCCAACAGGCGAACTTGCAGATCTCGACTAAGAATCTTAGCATGTGCATCAGGAGCAAAGAAAGCACTGGGACCCCGGCAAAGGATGTACTGAGACATGTCCTGTGCAGCCATTTTGCCAAGGTCTCACAGCCGTTCTGTGCCATCTCGCAACGGCGGCCTCGCTTGTGCCTGGCAAGAGAGGACCGGGATTCCTGGACATGTGACAATGGGTGCATCAACCTGTTCATGGATGCATTTGTTGGATCATTAGGTGGTGACTGTGTGCATGCACATGCGGGGGTGCAAGGATACTTGGAGGAATGTACTTGTGGGTATTCTTGGCATGTTGTTTGGCTGGTGGGGTGGATGAAGGGTCCTTATGACGAGAGTGCGAGGGTTTTGCTTCTTCTTGGGGAGGGAGTTTGGGCGGACTCCAAACTACTAAGTACTAACTCCTAACTGCTAACTACTAACTAACTGCTAACTACGAACTATTTATTACTGCTGCTGCTACTGCTGCTACTACTACTACTACTACTACTACTACTACTGCTCCTACTCCTACTCCTACTCCTACTCCTACTCCTACTCCTACTCCTACTCCTACTCCTACTCTTACTCCTCCTACTACTATTATTATTATTACCACTACTACGAAGACGACGACTACAAGTACTACTACTAGCACTACCACGACCACTACCACTACCACTACCACGACCACTACCACGACCACTACCACTACCACTACTACTTCTACTTCTATTTAACTTCTACTTCTACTGCTACGCGTGCTGCTGCTGCTGCTGCTGCTGCTGCTGCCGATACCGCGGATACCATGCATACACTGTGCGCCTGTAGTCGGTGATGGACCCCGTTCAGCATGGCTGTACTTAATTGGCATCTCACGCCATCTAGCTCTTGCAGAATTCTTTGTTTACACATGTGTTTTCCGGCGAAAGTAGAGTTTAGGTGACCCCTGTGAAAGGCTGTGGCCTGCAACTCGTGCCTTAAAGAAATGTAGCTGCTGCCATTTCTGTGACCTTGGCTTTCGTCCACCCTGCTCTCAAGTTTCATCTTCTCGTTCAGATATGAGTCTGCGATGGTCCGGCGTAAGTTCCGCGAGAGGATACAGAACAATGCAGACGACAATCCAATGAAGCATAGACACACGGATAGACATTGTACTCACTTGCATTGTGCTCGGGGAACTCTTTCTGCAGTGCCTGTGTCTGTATCTCGACATTCATCTGATCGAATCGACATTATTAGCTGAACTCTCTCCTCCTCTCTATGTCTCTTCACTCTCTCTCTCTCTCCCTCTCTTCTTCGGCGCCAGGGCCCGCTGCGCGATCTCCTGGGCTGGGCGCCGGAGGGCGCTCGACCTGCATGCTGTGCCTTCGATGAAGAGAGCCAGGCCTCCCAATGGGGCACTTGGAGCATTGGATGTAAGAAATAAGGAAGAAATAGGAACAACACAGAGCTTGAACACACGTCAAACGATTGGCAAGAGGGAGTCGCCTTGCTTCGACCAGGTCTCTGAGCAAGTGCTCGCGAACTTCGAGGCGATTGGGAAGACGGGGAACGGGATGCCATGTCATGAAGTCATGAAGTGGTTCCTTCAGGCCCTGAGCCAGCTGATGGAGGCGCCCGCACAAGTCGGAGACTCTGCCACAGTCTGCCGATCTCTGCCAGGCCGTTTGCCTTCCAGAGCACTTGGCTCCGGGCGTGGTCTTCACCGTGACCCCTGGCGAGCTTCCACTACCGGAGGCGGTGTGCTTCGTGTCTTGCAGAACGGTGACCAAGCAACAAAATCAGTCAGATGTCTTTCTCGCTCCTCAGGTTGTCTCCGAGGCGTTTGGGCTCAATGCCGCAGAGAGGCCGGCAACTTACCTGGATTGATTGCAGCATGTTTAGACAGTTTAGACTCTCAGCAAGCTGGAACATCATTCGTCGTGGTTTGGTTTTGCCAGGCAGAAGTGCCGGCTGCTCGCTTGCAACACGCCTTCGTTTGACTGGGCAGACCAGGTCCGTGTGAGCCTGCAGTATTGCAACCATGGATTTGACAAACTTGCAAAAGCTGGAAAGTGTCTCAGCATGAGCAGAGAAATTCGTTATCCCTCAAAGGATGCCAATATTAAGTCCAGTTGATCGATTGCATTGCATCCGGTGGGTGCTGCATCGATGTTTTTGTTTTGGTCGAACACATCAGCAGTTCAAGAGTCAAGGCTTCCCAGGCTGTGCAGACCAGTTGGGACGTTTATATGCGGGCGTGGAACTCGCAGTATTCATGTAATGTGGACAGCATCAGCAACAAGTGGAGCTTTGGAAGAGCAGGACACGATCGGGCACAGATGCAGCGTGCTGAGCGAGAAGGCGGCCGCGACATGCAAGCGTGCTGCCGAGTACTGTTTGGAGCCATAATGGCCCACTGCAAGGGCTGCACGGAAGGCAGGAGCTGCGCTTCGAGCGCCTCCTGGATCTGCAAGGCGCCGAGCGGATGCCGGGGCGCTGCTTGCTGGCTTTGGGCTCCTCGGCAGCCCCGATTCGCAGACTGTCCGCTGTCCATGCCCAGTGTTCGTGATGCGAGGGCCTTCCTGTCTCCGGCCTGCCTGTGCGATGAGGGCCCTCTACACCTTTGAGGTAGAGATCGCCCGAGTTGGCTGTCCAGTCCTGCATTTGGGCATTGCAAGCATTGCCAGTCCTGGGCTACTACAGGTATCCGCCAAGTACTGTATGACAAATGAGATTTTTGACCGAGTGGTCGCAGCAGTTTCATAGATCATGCTTCCATATGCTTCCATGCTTCGTGATAGATGTGACTAGCGGGCAGCATCTGTAAAATTACGCACAGCCTTCGCTTTGTACACCGAGGTATTGTGCTCGCAGCGAAGCTCTTGGGAAGCCAGTGCTTGGCATTGCTGCGGTGCGACGCAACCGTCGACCCCGTGACCCTGACCCAGGCCCATCAAACGATTGGAAAGTCGCGGAAAGCCTGTGTGATCTGCAACGAAGTGTACAGTGAAATGGAGGAGCCAGATTCAATCTGGTCCTCAGCCGCCAAGTCGAAACGTCCCAAACGCCCATTTTGTGTCGCTGCCAGACGAACCACCGCCCCTGGCGCCGGGGCTGGCTGTCTCTTTGCTGCGAGGTCGTAAGGGATACTTGGATACGTTGGGTGTGTTGCGGAAGCCAGCGGTTTAAACTCGCCGACAAATTCAATTTCAAGCTCGGACTGCCGCAGGCTTCGGAGGAGACTCATCCGTGATCTCAGCAAGCCGCAGCTGGACGGCGGCTTGGCAGAGAATGCACTGTCGTCTTCAGGCTCGTGTGCAATAGGAAGTCTGTGCAGCGGGGCTTGACGTGGTCCGTAAGGTCCGGGAGCTCAAAGAAGTGATCAAGAGAGACAGCGGGATCGCGGAACATCAGCAGAGGCGAGTCCAACTTTGGACGAAGTGCATCGTCAGCTCACAGGGAGACGAATGACTGACAGCATCAACTAGTTGAAGATCGGACGTGCAACGGCTGCGTTTTTCCTGGCACAGGCTGGTCCTTGCCTCCTCGCAAGATGCCGTGGAGGAGCCAACACAATCGCAGACTTTCGTTTCGCTTGATACAACGGATGCTTTTATTGTAGGTTTCTTAACGTCACGAGACGAACAAAACCACAGAAAGGATTTGGTCTCCTCCTAAGTACCTTGCAGGGCTGTGACCTCGCAGATTCCGGTTTCAGGGACGCGAAAAAGCAAACGGATGCCAGAAATGTTGGTGTGTTGACGCGCCTCGGGAGGCAGGGCTGCATTTGTGGTTCGGTGTCCGAGCGGCATCGTCAAGAAGTGGCTTCCATAGATTCATTTTTAGTCGCAGGGTTGTTCAATTCAATCGAGGCAGTATCCTTGAAGGCAAGTTTTAATTGATTCCTATGCCTGTGCGGGTTTTGAACGAAGCTGTGTTAATTCGGCTGGCATAAGAACATACCACACGCTGCAAACCATATTGAATGGTCTGGGCATGTCTGCGCTGAAAGTGAGCAGACTATGAAGACTTACGCGACCCAGACCCTGGCGCCCTTGAGGATCACCAAGTGCTTGGAGACTTGTCGCCCGAGGCAGGGATTGGTCTCTCAAATCTTCAACCTGGATTAAAGCTTTGCTATCGCCTCTCTGAAGGGGGTCTTTGCAACTGGAGAGGCTGAGCTTACGCTGCAGCTGCTCTGCTTGGAGCCGCGCTGGGCAGCTGCACGCCAGTGTCTGGACGAGGCGACTTTGATCATCCCAAGAAGTGCCTGTAATTTTTGTGGTAAATATCTTAAAGGCGTCTTTCCGCTCTCTTTATCTCTCCTGTCGTTGCAATTTCTTTCTTGTATTCGTTCTTTCTTTCCTTGTCACTTTATCTCCCCCTCAATCTGTCTGCACGTGTGCTTACGCACACACTCAGACAGACGTGACATCTTGAGACATTTAGCTGTCGTTGGGTATTCTGTTGCACCTGTTCCTCTGTATACAAGTGGACGGTCCGTTAGCATCAAGTTCGGAAGTTACTGCGGCCTCTACCGGCAGGAGCCAGAGGCATGGGAGGACTTGGAGGAGGCGGGATGGACAAGAGGCATGAATTTCATTGCCTTGTATACTTCTCTTGTTGCGCGAATGCGCCTTCCTTTCAGCGCAAAGCATACCACCCCGAGACGCCGAGACAGCAACAAGGTCTTTCCTGGCCAGTGCAGATGGGCAGTGCAGGATCTCCAGCGCGACCGTGACTTGATGTTGCTGACCGTCTCGCAGCGCCCAGCTTTGCTGCGCGGGAGTGGCTTCACAGGCCAGGTGACTTGCAGTTTTCAACAAGGTGAGCAGCATGCCGGTGTTCAACTGTGGTCGGAGCTGCAAAGGGCATTCTTCTTGCTGGCGGCTCGACTTGAGGAGACGCAGAAGTGGTTCTGGCGGCCGCTAAGAAGGTCGCAGACTCAGTGTTGACTGACTTCGTGTGCTGGGACGGACGGGCTGACTACGGCGGCTAGAGGACCCATGGCGCACCACGAGCAGCTTGCACACGTTTACACACCGCGAGAGCAAAGAAGCATGAATGGTCAACCTCCATAGACACTACTGCCTTCGGCTTCGACTATCCATAATATCTGTGACAGGATCCAGCTATGTTGGATGCGGCTTCTTGGCTGCGTCTGAACGGTCGCAACAGCCAACGACTCTGAGAGTATGATACGTTTGCACCTGTCGGCAAGCACTAGAACGGACGAAACGCAGTCGTTCATGACTGAAGCTGGCATGCAAACCTGAGTTTGTTACGAGGCGCCAATTCCCCCAAAGGAAGCAAATTGCAGCAACAGCTCCTGCTCCTTTGAAGTTTGCTTGATGCGCGGATCTGAAATCAGGCTGACCATCATCTATGGCTTGACGACTCTTTCGCAGAAGCTGCCTCTGTCGCTTGACATTGACAGAATCAGGGATTGAGTTGGCCGAGCCAGACTTTCGCTCTGTTTCACACAGCTGTTCTGAATTTTGGCTCTGCAGCACTGGAACGGGATCTAAGCGATTTGCAGCTCTGCAATGCTGTCATGTGCGCAGTGTGCGCGACTCTTCACCTCCGTCGGAAATACCAGAACATCAGGGCCCGGGAGAGCAACGCCTACTCATGCTGGAAGGGGTGGCAGGAATACACTCAGCAGACATGCTGTGTGATGCGGCCTCGCAGAGACTAGAACCGAATCGGAGCGCAGTCACGGATGTTGATGCTGGCCGCTGGCAGATTCTATTGCAGTTTCTTTCGAAGAGGCACAATGCCTTGTTGACAGCAGACGCACTTTGTTGTAATGCTGCCATCAGGGCATGCGCCAAAAGGATCCAATGGCAGTGGTGTCTCCAACTTGTACCAGTCATGTTCGCAAACAGCGATGGGTGTGATGAGATCACTTTGAACACTGCCATCACGGCTTGTGGCGTGGGACAGAAATGGCGGGAGGCGCTTGAGCTCCTGTTCAGAATGCCGACTTTGAGGAAATCCCCATCTGTGATCAGCTTCAATTCCGCAATAAATGCATGTGGTCAGGAATGGTGTGTTGCCGTTCACCTTCTTGACATCATCTTTGCCAGGAGACTCGTTCCGGATGTTATAACCTACGGTTCGGTCATCAATGCCGGGCAGAGACTTGGGCAATGGCAAATGGCCCTCTCAGTGCTTCATCGCCTGATGCCTTCGAGAAGAGTGTCGCCAGATCAAATCACGTTCAATGCGGCCATCTCAGCATGTGGTGGTGTGGGCAGCTGGGAGATGGCGCTCTGGGTTCTTTTTGAGATGAACGCGGCACGGGTGAGTCCCAATGTGATCAGCTTTAATGCCGCCATAACAGCCTGCGACATTGGCAAGCAGTGGCGCAAAGCCATCGAGCTGCTTGCCAGTATGCCCGCCTCCAAGGTGATGCCAAACCGCATCAGCTTTACAGCGGCCCTCAGTGCAGCCGGAAGACAGGGTGAATGGCAGGTTGCGGTTCAGTTGCTTTCGGACACACTGGCTCCTAGCCAGCTCACCTACAATGCAGGCATCAGTGCCTGTGAGAAAGGTGGGCAATGGGTGCTGGCTCTAAATCTCTTCTCCGAGATGCCAGCCAAGAGCATCTCACACGACAGGATTAGCTTCAACTCTCTGGCTAGCGCATGTGAGAAGTGCTCGCAGTGGCATGCTGCATTGGTCGTCCTCCGCAGCATGTCTTTCAGTGCAGTCCTTCCCAACCAGATAAGCTTCAATGCTGTGATCAGCGCCTGCGAGAAGGCGGGTCAGTGGCAGACATCTCTTCAGCTGTTAGATGACATGCCCGCAGCAAAGGCCGTGCCTGATTTGATCACTTACAATGCCACCATCAGCTCATGTGAATCTGCCAGCAAATGGCAAGCAGCACTTCAAGTGTTCGACGAAGTCAGAGACGCCGAGCTTCTCCCGAATGTTGTGACATTTACTGCTGCGATCAGCTCCTGCGACAGTAGTTGCCAGTGGGAGATCGCCGTGCAGCTGATGTCTGACATGGGCCCGGCGGCAGTAGAGCCGAACCTACTCAGCTACAATGCGACACTTAGCAGCTGTGGGAGACATGGGCAGTGGCAGGTACTCATTCTGCTGCTTTCAGACCTCATTCTGGCAGCACTTGTGCCGGATGCTGTAACATTCCGCCTTTCTGTCAGTGCTTGTGAGAAGCTTGGACAAGTTGGTAGTGGCTGTGGCAGAACCCTTTCCGCCCAGTTTTGCAACTTCTGATTTGCTTCGAGACTCGCCCGGATCCTGAATTCGCCCCTGCATGACTTGGGTTTGCTGTTTGGATCTCTCAGAGCGCACACTGCGCACGCCGAAGGGTGCTCACTTGTGCAAAGAAGCTTATGCTGTGTGGCTAATATGTAGTCGCGACCGAATTCGCGTCTCTGCGGAGGCGATTCTAGCTCGTTTTGAAGGGATAGCCCTCTCGGGCTCCGAACTGAAGACATCGTGCAGGGAAAAGGTCTGCTATGCCGGAGGACTCCAAAGCCCTCCCAGAAAACTGGCACGAACTGACCTCATCAGGTCCATGGAGCTGCCGCTCTGAGAAGTGCTCGGGCAGCACTGCTTGCACTGTCCGGCGAGGAGCACTGCAGGGGGCACCAGGGGAAGAGTGAAGAGAGCGCCATTTTTCAAGTCCAGAGGACAGCGAGCCAGGCCCGGGCGGCCCAGGCCAGGTCCCACTCAGATTCTCCCCCCTTGTGAGTGCTTTCTGTCATCGCCCCTCATGGCAGTCGCGCAGCAGCTTGCGGCAAAGCACCGTGAGCTGGCGAAAGCAGCGCTCCGCAAGGAGGGTGTCTACAAGTGGAAGCAGCATGGATCATCTCAGTCTCTGGATCAGGTGACGTGAAAGACGCGAGTGTGACTTGTTGAAAAAGCGTATTAACGCAAGCTTGCAGTTGAAGGGAATATTGGCAACAAAAAGTAAGGCCTTTCTTCTCTCTTGGCAGGACGGCCGAGCCCTGGAAGCCTTGGACACTCTCCGGGCAGACTCCGAGCTGGCCGGGGCCCCGCGAAGACGGGAGCTGCGTCGGACTGTCGTACTGTAGCTGTTCCTTCTGCGCCGTTGATGGCACGCCCGTCGTAGAGCCGTTGTCCGCCGTTCGCCCTCACATTTTGAATTCCTCGCAGCGAGTGTGAGACTGTGACATGCATCGGATTTGGGACCTGCCAACTCGGCAGGTTCATATCGCCCTGGAGAATGATGCCAGAGCACTACAGTTCGCAGCAGAGGAGCGCCATCCTGCAGTTTGGCACAGCTTTCTCAACTCTCCTGTTCTTTGTGGAGGACTTGCGAGATGATGCTGAGTTAGTCCTTGCAGCAGTGCGCCGGCGTGGCCAGGCCAGTTGATGCACCAAAGCTCCAGGAAGCTCGCCGCTCCTCTGCAGGTGCTGCGCTGGGCCTCCGAAAGGCTGCGAGGGGAGAGGCGAGCTGTGCGATCCGTTCTACTTACTTCCCGCTGAGCCTCCTAAGTGTTGGAATTTTGATGTCCTCCCGGATTCAGGCATGTCGTGCTGACTGCCATTGATCAGGCGCGAACCACCGTGAATCTGCCTTCAGTTGCATCCATGTCTCACAGGGCCCCCTTCACCGAGTGTGCAATCGGGCAGGACCCACGCGCCGTGATGTTCGCCTCAGAGGAGCTAGCTCGGGACAAAGAGGTGGGGATTGCGAGGCAGGATAAGCTATGATAAAGATTTTTCCAATCTGTGGCCAGGTACTGCTGGCGGCCATGTCCAAAGACCCCAGCCTTGCCGTCCACTTGGCCAATGTCGCCAGAGGGACCCGGGGGTCAGGGCCAGGGGGTGCCAGAAATGGGGATGTTAGACTTCGAGTGGTTGCATGCGCCAGCAGCGCTGAAACATCCAGAAGATTCTTCTGTCGATAGTTCCCTCTGCCTTCGAGTCGATGTGAGTTTGCAGTTTCTGGATGTCGGCAAATATCATAAATGCCGGCAGGATCGCCTGAGCACTTCCGAAGCCACCGCGGGCGTGCAAAAATGATTAGCTCTGATGTTGGACTGCGATGTCTGTTGTAACCGCTATGGTGCTGCAGTAGCCCGGGTCTCGGAAGTTAATGGTTGCTGGACTGCTTGGTGCAATTCAATTCTAGACGAACACGTGGATGTACAAACCGTGCAATCCAACGCAGGCAACGGAGCTACAGAGGCAGCGGCACGGCCAGGACCTGAGACTTTCTGCAGCCCATGCAAACGCCTGAGTCCAAGCCGTTCGGTTTATCTTATTGAAGGGACATGACATGACAGCTGCGTGGCGTCCACATGGTGCAGTTTGGCTGCTGTCCTACAAGTAGGAAAGCTCGCGCTGATCGCGGTTGAAGACGAGTTGATGTGCCCGATTTTATGATTTACTTATGTAGGAGGCAATGAGATGTGGCCCCTGGTCACATGGTCCTCCTGTTAAAACTGGCGCAGACTGAAACTACCATCTGATACAGTGTTTGTGTACTACGGCTCTCAGGCATTCTGCGAGAAGTCCTTTGGACAGCTTTGGAGGCAACCTGCCAAAGTACGCACCGAAGCTTTCGATCTGATTTGCCTTCAGGATGCCGGGCTTTACATGGAGCGAGTAGCGCTAGTTTCCGGGCCAGTCCCTCAGCTTTCAAGCTCGAGCAGCTGCATCATCGGCTTGTAGAGTAGGTTGTGTTTCCCCGTGCTGAACTACACTAGGTGTGTGTCGAGACTGTTGGGTTTAGGGCCGTTTGTGGTAGAGATTGCAAACTGGCGAAGGCCGGGTGAGTCCGACAGCCACCAGGCGATCCAAGGAGATGCTGTAGACTCTTCTCAGCACGTGTCTCAGGGAAGCAGGTATTTCTGATATCTGGTTACACTGTCGTGGCTCAGCTTCTCTAAGGAGCAGTGAGGCCAGTGGAGTCGCAGATGAGGCGACGCGCTGATATCCTGCAGTGGGGCAGAGGTGATGCAAGCACAAGCTTCAAGTCGCGGCCAAGGCTTGGGTTCTGGGCTTGACGCCGAGTGCGATTCGACGAGAAGCTGAAGAGCAAAGGCTTCCTTCACTCACGGGCATGTTGAGAAACTTCAGCTGGCTCAGTGCCCAGAAAGGCTCGCGACTCGCAGAGCCCGCAGCTGAGATTTGCAGGTCTCGCAGCGCAGCGTTTGAGTCATCGGCTTCAGGTCTTCAGATTGCAGACCCCCGAGGGTCTCACGAAGACCTTCTTGCGATGGAAGTCCTACAAGAGCGGTCCCCAGTGCCCAGCGCCTTCGAAAGGGAGACACCCCGTCATTCCGCAGAAAGGCGATCGCCTGGTCCTGGGCACGGTGAGGCGGCCGGCTTCTTAGAAACACGCGTCCTCTCAGAGCGGACGCGCCTGGCCGGGGCCTAGCCCGGGGCATCGAGGCAGACTCGGAGTCGGAGTTCAACTCCGCCCAGGCGCCGGCCCTTATTTTGTGGGGCCTCGCCATGGTGCCTTGTACAGTAAGGTTTAAGAATTTAAAGTCCCTAAGAGCACGGTGGACTGGCACTACCTAGCAGGTCGCTCAAGCCGAGGCCCCTCGCAGCTTTTTTACAGCTGCCAAGCTTTCGTCCCCTCGAGCACTCGTCGGGGCTTGACAGCCGTAAATCGCCGTAATGCTTCGAAGGCGCACATCCGTCAAACGAATGAACAGGATGCCAGGATGCGTGACATCGGATGACTCTGACGGGGCAAAGAAATGATGCTGCCAGGTTCTTTCGCTGCTCTACCGCTGCGCTTTCCAGGCGGTCTTTCCCAGGCAGTCACGGGCACTGCAGCGTTTCGCTCCTCCTTCGGTGTCGATCCGAGAGGGCGAGCGATGACGTGCCGGAGGAGTTCAGGGTGCAGCACTTGACAATGACCAGCCCGGCTCGGATTCTGCAGCTTACTCAGAACGTTAAGGACCTGGACCTCCTGTGCCAGAGGCATTCAGTCGGAGGCTCATGTGTGAGAGATCTGGCCACCGTGAATGGAGAGATGTCAACGTATCATCGCGGCATTTCGCGTCCAGCCTGTCCGAGGTGATGTCGTTGGCTCTGCATGGAGGGGTGGTTGACAAAGTTCCCTGTCGAACTTGCGGTGTGCCACAGCAGCGGGTGCATGAGAAGATTTAAATTGCCAGGTCACAGCTCTGCACGATCCTTCTCAAAGTTGCGCCCTTGGCTTTTGCGACCGGGTGCATGTACACAGCTCGTCTACGAATCATAGAGCACGCAGTGTACATGCCGTCAGCTGTTCCACCCAACAAAGCCCTTTTCGATGGTGGCCCCCCGCAGGGCAACGCCTTTTGGAGCTCTGGCCACGACTCCGAGGAGGGCTTGCCTCGGTTGTCGCCTCAACTGTTCTTCGTCCATCTGGTCAGAGCCGGGTGCACGTAGACCACTTCTCGCTCAGATGCCCATCGACAGCATTGTCACTTACTTTGGCATCCATACCGCCGAGGCACAGTGATTCTCAGAACCGAACAACCATAACACAGGCCACATCAGTGCAAGTCCTGGGCATCTCCATGTCCTGATGCCGTGCTTTACAAATTTTCTTGCTGTCTTGAAACTTCAGAAGCGGCATAAGACCCCACCAGGCTTGCTTTACAACTCTCCTCCCAATTTGTATGGGCATGAGCATGAGATTGGATTCCTAGATGCACCAGCTGTAGTTTTCAAATCAGAGTGCAGCGAAGAAGTGCGCATGGAAGACTAAAAGCAATGCATCCAGAAGCGGGAACTCTTTGATTTGATCAGTTGCAATCTGCACAGTGCACAAATCATTGCGATTCCTCGTGGGGTGCTGCCTTGCCAGTACTTTGTAGTACCTGCAAGTACCAGCGTGGCATCATGCACAGCTTGATTTGTTTGATGTCGCGGCCTGTGGTTTCCCTCTGCCAGTATTTCGCCTTCCTGCACGAGTACGCGACATGGCTCCTTCTGCCTGCCGTGCTCGGAGTTGCCGTGCAGGAGCCGAGCCGCATGACACTCTCGTCAGAGCTCTGCAGATTTGCTGTCGTTTAAGCCCATGCCTACAGACCAAACGATCGAGAACGGAAGCCCCAGCGCAGGCAGTCTTAAGCCTTGATAACGACGGGCTCGACGCAGTGCGGGGCTCGTGAAACTTACAAGTACTGCGGCGTGGAAGAAGTTTGCGAGGCTTAGCATTATTGACAATTTGACAGCCCTGCAAACGGGTTTTCCACCGGATTGATGGTAGGAGAGGCCGAGCTTCAGAATTCTTTCCAGTCACTTGTCGGTCTGAGAAGCGCTGGGAAGGAAGAGGACCGCATTTTTTTTGTGCTTTTGAGCTGCAGGTCGCGGAGCCTGGGCCCTGGAAGCAGAAGGTCTCGTCGCTGCAGGGCTCGGCACAGCACAGCCCAGGCGCCGCATCTCCCAGGCTTTCATGGTCTTTATGTCTGCCCGAAGCTTGAAACGAGTTCGCCGGAGTTGGGCTCAGTCCTAGAAGGCCCTGAGCTCAAGGTGTGGACCACAGCCTTCATCGAGCACTGGAAGCGCTGCCGTGCCGGACTGCACTACCAGTTCGGAGCGAGGCATCATTCTACATTATGCTGCAGCAACGCTGCATGTCAGAATCTTACCGGTGCAGGCTGGAAGACCGCCAAGCAGAAGCGGAGTGTGAGGCCAGGGAAGTCGGCACTGCACCGCAGCCACTTGCTTGGAAGCAGCTTGGTGGCGCTATTTTTCGGTATTTTTTCCGTTTATTTTTGTATGTTTTTTCCGGTCGCGCGGTTTCCAAGCAAGCAAACAAAGCAAGCAACCAAGCAGGCAGGCAGGCAGGCAAGGAAGAAAGGAAGGAAAGCAAGCAAGCAAGCAAGCAAGCAAGCAAGCACGCAAGCAAGCACATCGCCAAATGAGGGGGCGTGCTTAAGATATAGGATGAATCCGAACCGCGAAATGAGGGGGCATGTTTAAGATATATGATGAACCGGAATCGCCAAATGACGGGTGTTTGTTCAAGGTATATGATGATCGTAATCGCGAAATGAAGGGGTTTGTTTGAGTTTTAAGATATACGGCGAATCCGATATGATGAACTCGAATCTCCAAATGAGGGGCCGTGTTTAACATATAGGGAAGATTCCGAATCGCAAAATGACGGGGCGTGTTCAAGATAGATGATGAACCGGAATCGTCACATGAGGGGCGTGTTCAAGATATATGATGAACCGGAATCTCCAAAATGACCGGGTGTGGTCAGGATATATGGCGAATCTGGTATGATGAGCCGGAATCGCCAAATGAGGGGGCGATTTCAAGATATATGATGAACTCGAATCGCTAAATCATGGGGCGTGTCTGAGATATGTGATGAACCCGAATCGCCAGATGAGGGGGCGTGCTTAAGCTATATGATGAGTCCGAATCGCTCAACCGAGGGGCATGTTCAAGTTATACGACGAACCGGAATCGCCAAATGAAGGGGCGTGTTTTAACACATATGATGATTTCGAATCGCTAGATCATTTGGCGTGTTTTAAGATATATGATGAACCCGAATCGCCAAATGAGGGGGTGTGTTGAAGATATATGATGAGTTCGAACCGCTCAACCGAGGGGGCATGTTCAAGACATATGATGAGCCGGAATCGCCAAATGAGGGGGCGTGTTTAAGTTATATGATGAACTCGAATCGCTAAATCATGGGGCGTGTCTAAGATATGTGATGAACCCGAATCGCCAGATGAGGGGGCGTGCTTAAGCTATATGATGAGTCCGAATCGCTTAGCCGAGGGGCATGTTCAAGTTATATGACAAACCGGAATCGCCAAATGAAGGGGCGTGTTTTAACATATATGATGAATTCGAATGGCTAGATCATTTGGCGTATTTGAAGATATATGATGAACCCGAATCGCCAAATGAGGGGGTGTGTCGAAGACATATGATGGGTTCGAATCGCTCAACCGAGGGGGCATGTTCAAGATATATGATGAACCGGAATCGCCAAATGAGGGCGCGTGTTTACGGCAAAGGCGAAAACGTGTTTAAGATATTTAGATATAATTACATATGTATAAACAAATAAACAAATAAGTATATATATATATATATATGATGCAACCCCGAGCCGAAGAAAGTTTGGCTAAGTGACACCGAAAAAATTGATAAGTGACCCGAAACGGTGCGACCTCGAAAACAGTTTGCCAAGTGACCTTCGTGTTTTCCCTCTCGACGGACCCACCTTGCCGCGGTGGGAGGGCTCAGTACCCCCTCCACAGACGGGGAAGGAAGCCAGGAGGTCCCCAAACACGAAACGGAAAAAAAATACCAAAAGAAACAGGAAAAAATACCGAAAAAAATCAGAGACCAAGCAGCTTGTGGTTCTTACTTTTCAGTGCGTGGCAGCCAAACAGAGCAAGGGCATGTTTCATGGTGAAGCTGCGCAGCGTGCAGATGTGCGGACCTGCAGGCTCCTGCAGCGTACTGCATCGAGACAAAGCGCTTGCGGCTTATTCCCAGTTTCGATCGGCTGCTTTGCAGAGTTTGGACAGCTTCTGGGTACGCGTAGAGAACATCAAGTGATATCAAGTGCAGGTCTGGCGCGTGCCTTCGCTGCTGGCTCGCGGCAACGAGCGGAGTCGGACCACAAGGTGGCCGGCAGAGCCGGGCAGGTAAAGAGAGTTCGTGCGGTGGGCCCGGCCCCGCGAATCTAGGGCCTAGGGCAGTTCTGAAGTGACTTCGTCTTTGCTCAGCAACAGCCGCAGCTGAAGCCAGAGCGGAAGAAGTTTTTACACTGCTTCGCGATTGCCAGGTGCATGACCTTTCGAAGGAAAAAGAACAGGGCCTGGCTACTTTGCTTGAAGTGGTGCTGTCACTGCTGTCAGTGGGACTCACACTTTGAGCTTCAGACCCACGAGTCCGCATGAGTTTTTGAAGGCCGGGTTCCTTATCTTATTTCGATTTCTCCGGACGGTGCCTTGGCAGCATCGGGGACTGCTGGGGCTCTGGATTCCGAACCTGACAGTCATGTAAAGAGGTGGTGGCGATGAGCTGTTTGGCTGCCGCTGCTTGGACCCTGGACGAATCCAAGATGTTCTGCCGCCCCCCCGGCCGCCTTCTGCAGACCTGACTCCAGGTTTCTGGTGTCGTGTACTTGCTGCTCCGACTCGGTGAGGCAGACGCGGCCAGCCCACAGCCACTACATTCTACTCTTTGCACATGCAATATATTACAACATATTACAACACACGCGAGCACAGAATGGTCCATGGGCGATTGTCCTTCTACAGACACGGCATCAATGCTGCGTGGCAGATATTTCTACAGCTCAAGAGGAGACACCTAGGGGGGCTTCCTTCCAGCTGTGCAATCGACTGAACAAGCTGCAGCACAGAAGCTTGGCATGCCTTGACAAAGAACTTCACGTGCGACTGCGGTGTCCTGCCTTGCCCTTGACAGAAGAGAACGTTCAAGCAACTTATGGTGCGTTCTTGCCAACCGTCAGTCAGAAATGTGTTCTTGAATACCGAGGACAGTGTTGATAAACCCCAGATCAGCTTGGATCAGAAGCTGCTTTGAAGCAAGAGGATATGTCTGGGAGCATGATGTATTGCAGAAGCACGCTCCCCTGAATTCCGAAGACGCCTGGTGCCATATCTGAGAGCTTTTCATTGGTGTGGTGGGGGACCTTGGAGTAGTTGCATTACACAGGTAGCTGATAGCTGATACTGATGCCGAGCCTGCTAATTCAGACTTCACCTGTCATGCTTGTACGACACGGGGCGGGACAGCGGCAATGCGACCATAGATGCGACTGGCAGAGGCGTTGTACAGGCTTCTCTTGCAAACGATGCGCACTTACGACACCGCGCCGATGAATGCTGAACGACAAGGAAAGATCAAGGCGGCGGGTTGAAACTTTCATCATTCAGTTTCCGCATGCTGTACTGACGTGTTCTCAGGAGAGAGCCTGCCTGTCCTGAGTCAGGCACGGAAAAGCTTTGCAATCGATGCCTTCCTGCAGAAGGGCAACTGGAGCAGCAAGAAGTTATGCTGGCCGCAACCGTTAGCGCATGGCATGGTTAGGGATTTCTATAGTCTCCGCCGCAAGACTAGTATGCCCAAAAGAAGTATGCATCTAGCGAGGACACATCAGTTTTACAGCATTTTGGCAAGGTCTTCAATGGCCGTTGGCCGTTTTCTTGGTCTCAGTCCTCGTGCTTGGCCTCCTCCTGCGCAGCTTGCCTGATAGCTGTCACATGTTCATATGGGAACACAGCTTCTGCGAAAGGCAATATGAATGAGTACAGGGCCACTGCACGGCACTGCATAATTTCCACAATTGCTTGGGCGAACTTGACCAGCGCTTGGGGCAGGTGTGCTGGATGGTCTGTTCTTCTCAGAGGAGGCACCCGCCGGGATTCTCCGAAAGTGACGAGACTCAACAAAAATGCTGCTGGCATGGCACTACTTTGGAAGGAAACCTCCTCCTGCTGCTGGGAGATAGGACTCTGTGCTGCGGCGACCTTCGGACTCCTGGTAGCATCGGATCTGCTTTGGATTGCTGGTATCATACGATACTATACAGTGCCACATCAGATTGTTATTTTGCGTTTTTCCCCAAACAGCTTTAGCTGANNTAATAGAAAAGGATTCTGTAACGCTCATTTGGATTTCTCATGGCATTACTCTAAAAACCGCTACTCATTTGTCTCCCACTTGTCTCCCATTTGTCTCCCACTTGCTGTTTGGGGTCGAGGCTGGTATAATTTTTGAATAGTAGTGAGATGTGACCACGGCCACGGCCCACTCTGGCTGCAGCTTCGCCCAGTCAGGACTGGCAGTAGCATCTCGCCCCGCCAAGAGCAACAAGGCCCAGCGAGACGGATGGGGAGACGCAGCGCCCCTAGGAGCTCAGTGTAGCGCCGTCTATGTCGCGAGGCTCCGAGGACATGCCAGAAGCAGGTCCCGGCAGGTCGCTGTGCGGCCAAGCCGGCGAAGCTTCTCGGATCCTATTCGTTCGTCAGTATGCATCAACGTCACTACGCAACAACATGAATGACTGAAGAAGCCGAATCCGGCGTCCTGAGGGTCAGGCGCATTTTAAAGCCCCAAGTGGCAGCACATACTGGCATTTGGCCTTTGGTGTCAAGGCCAGTCAGCAAGCCAGCAGGCGATGATGCCAAGGTGAGCCGGACGTCTCATGTGCATCGCTTGAGCAGTCATTCGCACACTGTCCCGGAGGTTGCCGAGGTGGTCGCTGCGGTTCGGGCCGGCAACATGGAGCTTGCCGAGGTCGGCGAGCATGGGTTACATGGGTTATGCATGCAGTCTAGTAGGTCTGCTACTGTTTTTTTCTCCGAGCCCCTGGAACTCTGCAGGCAAAGCTCCTCTTGCTGTGCAACTCCTGGAGGCCACGCGAACGGTGATGGCTCTCTCAAGACTGCCTGAAGATTCAGGCTTAAAAACGGTGATGCCGTGGAGTCTCTCAATGCCCACAGCACGATGGAGGTGCGAGTGTGCTTGAGTAAGAGTACCAGCCATGTCTGCGAAGCCCTGCGCAGTGTACCGGAGAAGCGGAAACATTCTCCTCTCGTCAGTCTGGGCTCACAGCCCAGTGTGCGTCGAGAAGCACGGGAGCCCTCGATGGCAGGCGAAGATGGCCGAGAGATGGCTCAGCTTCCTCGCGGAGAAGGGCAGACCTCCTGAAGTTAGCTTGAGATTCTCACCGAGTCTAACCAAGCCCATGACGTGCCGAGCTCCACAGAGTTGAGGCGTGCTTCGAGACTGCAATGCTGCAGCTCGGCAGATGAGAACTAGCTCTGGCGGCCGCTCTGGTTTGTCTGCCTGTCTGATGAGGTGATCACCGCAAACGCAAAAGAAAAGAACCCTGTGGCAGCCGAGAGGATTGTGACGTTCATGTGCAAGTGCCTGGCCTGGTATTGAAGGTTGCATATCTCTTGAGCTGCCCAGACCTCGTGAACCATCGTTAGTGAGTGCTGTCTGGCTTTGTGGCCAAACGCCGAAGCTGAGGGAGGCTTTCGGACACATCTGAGGCATGGTATTGAGCCGGACGTGATTACACTGGGTGCCGCCGTCCACGCCTTTGCCCATGCTGGTCAGCAGAAGGAGGCGGAACGCATGCCGGTGGCCCAGATACTCAGCACAGCGTTCCCAGCGGGCAGGTGCGCACGGAAACTTGCTGACAGGTTTGACCTCATCTTGACCAGGGGCAAAACCCGCCGAAAGCTTAGAATCTTAGAAAGAACCACCACGCCACAGGCTTGTCATTTTGTTGTGAATGCTGTTCCCAATTCACTCTTGCTAGAGCCGTGCACGATTCCTGAAAGAGCTGTCTGGCTTTCAGGCCCAGATGTCATCGGATTCAATGCATTGATCGATGCATCCGTCAAGGTCCTTCGTGCGAGTTTTCATTGAGAGATCCCATTTCAGTTCATCCTGCGAGGTCGGCGACACCAAGCGTGCAGAGTATTGGCTGGCAAGAATGCTGGAGGCCACTTCGGCTTTTCCGAGTAAGGGGTTCGGCTTCTGGTGAGTGATGGTGAGTGTATTGGGCTTGACATGTCCGCGCTTTTCCCCGCCTGCAGCTACGGCAGGCAAACATAAATGCACGATCGACGGCAGAACCTTCTCATGCCAGCCAGTTTTCATCCACACCCCTCTGCCCCAGTACAACTCTCTGCAGTGCATCGGCTGTCCCAAGATCGGTCTGGAGCCCAACGTGGTTAGCTACACGACGGTGCTCCATGCCCACGCCAAGCACGGAAACATTGAGGCGACGTGATCATGTGAAGTCCTTCCAGACCCGGCTATGCAGCTTTTCGAACCTGTCACGCATGCTGCAGCTGATTCGAGATGGCTAAAGGACTGCAGTAATTCGTGCCTCGTGCACGCCATGTCGTGTTGTAAGCGATTTTGCCAGGCTGCTGAGACCATGATGAAGCTGATGAAATCAAACGGAATCGAGGCCAATGTGGTCACCTATACGGCCACTCGGCATGAACATGCATGAACCACCCGCGACGAAATTCTGTAACTCCTGCTGGCACCGGCTTTCATTTGGCAAACACTGTCGGAGTTCGAGAGGTTTCTGGCCACTCCTGCACACCCAGGCCCTCGTGAATGCTTGTGTGAAGGCTGGAGATCTACCCTGTGCAGAGAGGCTGGGAGAGTTGCGTCATATCCGTGATGGTGAGTCTTTCTCCGCTGCAGCGCTGCAGGTGGTTTGATGAGATGCAGAGTGCGGGGATTCAGGCTATGCGCGACATGGCTCACATGCTTTAGTGGTAACTGCGACGTGATTGGAGAGGCAAACGCTGTTTCTTACAGTGCGCTGCTGAATGTAAGCGCCAAAGCGGGCGACTTCAAGTGACCTCGGCTGCATCAGAAACATGTTGGTGCTGCACGCAGAGACGCAGACACCCGGAATGCCCGGCCTGGGTCATCCTTAGGACACCCCGGGTCACACCTTAAGGCTCTAAGGCTCTGAGGGGTCCTCCTGAAGCCTTAAGTTGCATTGCCAAGGCGGGCGGAGCGGCTTCTGGAACGCATGTGCCAAGACCGTGTGACGCCCACGGAGGACACCCGACTCAGCTTAATTGGTGGCAGATTAGAATGACTTTAAGAAGTTTAAATAGCAAATCGCATTGTCAATATCTTCACGTGCTGGTATCACTGCCATAGTTTCATCAGCATGCATGTGTGTTCGCACGTGCAATCACGTGTTCACGTGTATGTGTGCATGCATGCGCTTGCAATTAGCACTTATGCATGTCTGCAAGGTTGTTTCGGCACAGCACTGGCCAGGTCTGCTTCAACAATGTCATCGATGCATGTTCCAAGGTCAGCAATGTGAACAGCATAGAACGACTAACGGCAGCCCGGCCCCACCGCCACAGGCCGGACAGGCTGCGCGCGCAGAACACTGGCTGTGGCGCTTGGCAGAAGGCAAGGATTCGGAAATGTCTTTCTGTTTGCTTGGGCACGTGTCGACCGCCTGCTGCAGAGGCAAGGATATTACCGCCGACCTTGCGCCAACACGCCAGTCCTTCACTGCTGCTGCGCAGGCTGTGGACCGAGAAGCGATACCGGTACATGTCAATGTCGACACTGTACCTGCTGGCACAGCATGTTTCCATCTTGGTGTTGCCAGGCACATGCCAAGCTGGGATCTTTCGGAGACGTGGAACGCCTCTTCCGGGCAATGGAGGCTAGCCCCTAGGTTACCGTAAAAATTGTGCCAGCACAAGCCTTTCGATCCGTCTATACAAGGTCAGGGGCATTTCGATGGATGCCTTCTGCCTAACCGTTCAACTCTCTGCTTATGCACGAGCACGCCCACGCCAACGTGAACGTCTCGAGGACCCAAACTGTTGCATGAGCTTGCCAACAGAGAAGCAGGCAAGTGCGAATGCACTACAGCAGACAGGGTGCTTGTCACATTACATCAGCAGACATGTAGAGCTTGCGCTGCTCAATACCATCGAGGAGGCGCTTCGCAAGTATCACAGCCAAGGGTTCCTTGGCAGCACGCAAAGGCGTCGTAGTTTCCCGAAGAACGCGGGGAGAAATGGTGATCATGGGCTGTGCCACGTAACCCTTCTAAGCAAGCTTCTCTTCCTGCATCTCAGGCTGGCCATCACCAAGCCGCCTCTCCGTGTGGCGAAGCTGAGCAGCAGTAGCTATCTGTTAAGCTGCTATTGGTCACCATTGGTGATTAGGAGTCTAGTTCAAGCGGAGAGTACTATGTGGATTCAGGGTTGATTTGAGTTTGATTCTATTGAGCCTTAGGCTGCTGGGAGTGTGATTCGAGAAGTGTGTGTTAGCCGAGGAAGTCCGTCCTTGGAGCGCAGCGCCTCGAACAGCTCTGTGCCGAGATGGGCATGCAGGCAGAGCTCGGTAAGCGCGAAGGTAGGCGAGGCCGAGGTGGAAGAAGGATGGATCGGAAAGCGCCATGTTGTAGTTTTTGTTCATCGTGTGGCATCAAAAGAGGTTCCTGACCTCAATGACTTCGCAGAGGAGCGCCGGCCCTGGCGGCGGTGCCCTGGCTTGAAACCGTCACAGAGGGGAACACATCAGGTCACCCGAGACAGAACCATAGTTTGTCCATGCTGTATCACAACGGTGCGTGGGTTGGCTTTGTCTTGGAGGAAGGGATCCGAAACCAGAGAAGGAAGCGCACTGGTAGGTGAGAGCCCCAACACTGAAGACACAGGAAAACCACCCATGCCGATTTATGCGCTTTTCATGCCGCGCCTTGCAGGCACTGATCCCGCATCGTCATCATCGCCTGCCTCCATCGGAGGTATTTCGGATCGTGGCCACATGCTGTAGCCTTCAACCTTTGTGAAAGAATCTCAAGCGGGGCTCTCCGAGCATAATGTCATCACGGATCCAGTGACCAGTTAGGGTTTAAAGTTGCAGCATCTTTTGCATGCTGTGGATGCGCAAAGCATGCGACCCCGCTTCCGAGAAAACCTCTGAACTGAAGTTTTGTATCGTGGGTTTTCCGGGTCTGCTTGCAGTAGAATGAGACTCCAAAGATTGACTATAATGACTGCTGAGTCGAGCTATCTCATGTGCTTTTTCAGTGATCCTTTGCCGCTTGTCATTCGCGAGCATGGCTGGCAATCTTCAAAGCGAAGGTAGCCAGGGCCCTTTAGAAGACCCGCGATGAGAACGGCCTGTTCTCTCAACCAAGGGAGTTTTGAGTTGCCACACATAGCAGCCTGCTGGGTGTAGCGCTGCGCCTGCCGCCAGTTGGGACTGTCAGAGCATGCTATGTTCGAACCGCTTCGTAAAGTTTTACAGCAGTTATCATGATCTTCGCCCAGCTTGTCGGCAGTCGTACCATCTCAGTAGACTCGCAGTCCTTTCGCAGGGAAAGTGGGTGTGATGGGGGGTTGGCTTGTGCTTATTGCTTGACCTGCGAAGCTGCTGACGTCTTGGCCCTGCATGGTCGTAAGAGCCGGCAGAGGCCGCTCGCTGAGATGGCCAGGATGTGCTGTGTGTTCGGCAGCTGGATGACAGGCCGTCCACGATGTCAGGGTGTTGATAAGCAGTTCCCTTAAATTCTTAAATACCTTGTACATGCATCATGAGGGGTACTCAGCACGACGTGTCGGCCGAGAGACGTGGCGACACACCAGCTTGCTCCGTTCGAGGTTTATCCAGACTCGTGCAAGACATGTATCAGATCATCCAGACATCGGGCAGCCAAGAGTGCTGAATTAAATAATGCGCAAGCACCTTCCAGCGGTATGTCAGCAAGCCATGGAAGGTGTGAGTCGTGGGAACCACCAGTCCTGCTGCTGCTGGTGCAAAGGGCATGCAAGAGAGACAAGTTCTGTTTGGAGTAGAAGTCAGAGGCTTGGAACATCATCGTCCTCCTAGACCCCGAAAGATGGAAAGCCAGCATAATTCATCATCTTGCCAAGTTCCAACCTTTGCCTTCTACCGTAGCCGAGGATCTTGACAACAACGCAGCGCTTGTTATTGCATCCGGTCAGAAGGTTCTCTCTCGCTCCCTTCGCACCAAACACAACAGCAAGTCTTGTGACGCAGATCAAGTCTAAGTAGTTTTGTGGCACGCCGGTCAGGAAGCTAGAATTGAACCTCCATTCCTCTGCCAAGAAAAGCTTCTTCATTATCACGCTAGGCACAATTCAGTGAGTGTCCCAGCACATTTCGGGTTTTTTAACTCTCATGTTCCAGTGACTGAGCTTGATAGCTAGGTAGAAGGAAAGCGTTGTAAAGCATCTTGAAACCATCAACATATCATCATATCTACATGCGCAGTGGGAATTGCAGTGAAAAGCTTCCTGTCGCACCTGCCAAAGTGGCGACCCATTTTTGTTCGGATCCGATGCGCGGCAGCACACAGTCAGGAGTTCCTCGAGGCATCCTGGCTCGAAGGCGTGACAAGCATTTGCATCTGTCGGGTTCCAAAGTGGTAGCTTCGAATGTGGGAGCTTGAGCCATGCCGTTACGAGGCAGTCCCAGTGCTGTGATGCTGACCAGCGCCGGTCCGTTTCGCAGGATGAACACTGACCCCGATCGAGGTGGTTCTGGGTCAGAGCGTGTCTTTTGACAGCTACTTCGTAGCTACAGCTACAGGGAGGCCTTCAATTATGGTCGGTCGGGTGCTTGAACCTGCTTACTCCCTGAAAGGGTGTTCTGTAGAGATACTTTGGGCTAGCACCGGCTTTGAGCAACCAACGGTCGGTCTGTAAAGCCACTATCCCCAGGCAGGCAGGGTGCAGTGGCAGGGACGTGCAACTCCAACGGCTGCAACTGATCTCACAAACACCGTCCTGATTCCTCTCGCACTTTTCGCCGGTAGCCAAAAGGGATCACAACCTTTTGCTGTGGCTGGGCTGGCCTCTGGCTCTGCAGAGACCAGGATTCCTTCCCACGACTGCTCCGGAGGCTGAGCCCGCCGAGCATAACTGAACACAGACATGTGAGGCTCGGCCTCCGGGTGGTCAGTCTTGTGATGGCATCCTTGGGCAGAAACCAGACGTAGTGCGTGGTCAGTCTCGGCTTGGTGCTAACCCCGGTCTTGACTGTGGCAGGCGAGCAGCTGTTTGGCTGACGTAACCTGATTCTAAGCTGTCGCAGATCCTTGCAATTCCTTGCAAAGCTGCTGATCTCAGACGAGCCTGATGTTTCTCACTGCCACATGTGATCCGACAACAGCCGCGAAGCGCATGTATGTGCGTTCTCAGAAGGTCTCTTCAGATACTTGCACTGATGTTTCATGTCGTGCTTCACTGTTGACTTCTTCGTGTGAGACAGGGGTGCAACGCATCCCACCACGAGTTGGTGCAGCATCATGTCAATCAGAGACTTCTCGTCGCACTGGGTATGGGGGCTAACCCATAATCCTGCCACGGCTTCAAAATGACTTCTGACCGTGAATATGTGCCTTTCGCAAGCTGTCGTTGGAGGACCCCAAGTTGTTCCGAGATTTTGGCACAGATTGGACGGGCTCGGCCGGCAGTCTGTTCGGATGCAGCTCAAGTCCTCTTGGGTATACCCTTCAAGCAAGGACCAGTCTTGCCAAAAAGATCCTAGAACAGAGAGTGCAGCAGCAAGAGCTCATTGAGGGGAAGGCTTGGAGCGGTCTGAACCAGATTTCTGGCAAGTAGAAGAGCCCCGACACTGTGCACTGCATGTTCATTTGAGGTCAAGCCGTTGAAGATTACACGCTGCATAAACGGCCAGCGTGAAGATGATGTGAAGTATTTCAGAGAGGAAAAAGCTCGCGGGCCATGATCGAGGGACCTGGCACCTAATGCATGACCCCGTTGCGACCCATACCAACGAGCTCTGAAAACCTTTGTTGGTATTTCGGCACCCTGTCTCGTCGACTCGTGTCCGCAGGTTGCGGAGCAGCGATCAGACAGTGTTGTCATCCAGAACGCGCCTGCCGTGGCCTTGTATGATCCAATCTGGTTTCGCTGAGATCCCGACTAGGCTGCCTAGGCGTACATGTGGTTGGATGCCCGAGGAGAATAGGTGTGGAGCAATCAGTATTCCAGCTGTAGCTGACTCCAGCTCGCGCGGCTTCCGTAGTCGTCCATTTGCCGGTGCAAAGTGCAGCTCCAGTGAAGCTACAGAAGACGTTCCTCACCCTTTTCTGCGGCCGGATCCAGACAAGGTTGTGATCTACCTGATTGTCGTGAGCCTCATGGAGAGGCTCACTTTGGTTGATCTCTGTACTGGCTTACTGCATTCTTCGGGGTGTTGAGTGCAGGCTGTACCAAAAGGGGGTGTCCTCGCTGGTGCATATGGAAGGCCACGTCAGAGACCTGGCTGTGAGCATCGTGTAACGCTCCTGATCTGGTGGACATTAGTGGACATGCCTGAAGTGGTTTCCGCACGCGGGTACTGCAACCATCTGACCACTAATTACAGACTGACTTACCGTGACATGTCAGAATGTAGTGGCGATGTCATGCTCAAGGTCTCGTATGCGGAGCATTTGAAGTCGCTCATTTCGAAGGTGCATCGCGTCGCAGTGCTTATCCATGACGTGTTGTCTTAAGTGGCTGAGTGGCAGACGCTCTTCTTTCAGCTGGTCAACTACTTGGGTGCCAGCCCAAGATGACAGAGAGACGGACCCGATTCTTGACAACGAGCACGGAAGTCTTATCAAGGTGCGTCCTTTGCTGCTGACTTTGTCAGCCGTGCTTCCATTAAGCGTCATTACACCGCCAGACGTGCATCACGGGAATCTGCGTCACAATTTCACGATCGAGATCAGGTCGCCAAGATGAGCAGCTTTCGTGATTGAGTTGTACATGTTGGATTCAAATCCGTGGAGCTTTGTCACAATCCCAGGTTGGTTCTTGTATGTGGCCTTTTGCATCCAAGGCTTGGACTACCTCAGGCTGGGTCGATGTGTGAGTGTTTGGGGGGGCGGGGGTTCAAGCGACATGCGTCATGTCTGTACTCGTCAAGCTCTTTGTGCAGATCGCAGCTCCTCAGCTTCATGACCGTGAAACAGGCCTTTTCAATCCGCTTCATTCGCATACCTGTCCATGCAGTTACAATCTGATCAGCCGTGGCAAGGAAGAAGGTGCAGTAGAGGTTCGCAACTGTTCCAGTTTCCCTTCAAACTTCTACCGTCACAAAGTTTCACTCGTTGGCAGCTCCTCGGTCAAGCTCATAACCGCGACTCGTAAACCGGAGATGACTCTGCTGTGATGCAGGTAGCCAAACAGAGTTCAGGACGACAGCAGTGCCGATGCTCAGGTCGTGGCAGTTGCGCAAGAAGTGCTTCTGCCAGTCGGCAGCTTAGCGACCTCTTCATGTGCCTCATGTTTACTTCACAACAGCTTGGCTTAAGACATCCTGACAGCGTGCTCAGGTCATACTGCAAAGATTCAGACGCTGGCAGGCTGTGAATGCCGTCATGAGATAGATACAACATCGACTTTCAGATTCAGCATCGTCAAATTATCGCGCCTGCCTTTTCGCCTTGTACATTACCATTAGCCGGCAGGGAAAAGGAGCGCAAGCTTCCAGAACGGAGCCAGACGTGCGATGCTGAGACTTTGTGCCGTGGTAGCTGAGAGTCCAAGTGTTGGCAGAGTTGACCTGCTACAGATGTCTCCGGCGGCTGCACCCAAGACCAGAAGGAGCGGGCATAGACAATGCGAGGTGAAGTGCGCTTGCAGCTTCTTGGGGCAGAAGGTGCTGTTTGCATGTTGACCCTGCAGGTGCGCCTCCCTCCGCCGGCTTGGTACTCACGCGGTATTGGGCGATGTACGATACCTAGCCGTGGGGTGGGTGGCAAGATCTTTTGTGGTCCGTCGTGCTTCTGGCCTCCACATGCACCAGGTTTGCGTTTCATAGTGCAGGCGTGAGGACACATCCAATACCAGCCTGCTTCCCCTAGGAGGCATGTTTAACTTCGTTGACACGCTGTGACTGCCGAGGGCACCTCACTGGAGAAGGATGTTGGCCGGCAGTTGGCTCTAGCTCCTCGGCAGAGATGGATCTCGGTTCTTGTACTCCTGGTGGAGCACATAGACATAGAATATAGCATCCCGGTGCAGGACAAGACGGACCTCTGCACCGAGTACCAGCAGCTGGTTGTGCTCTTTGCGCTGACGAGCTCTTTTGCTGCCGAGTCCCGAGAAGCTTGACTTCTGGTTTCAACTGAGCATCTTTGATGTTTTGGGATCTGGCTTTGCACCTCGAGTGCCGCCGTACGCCGCTGTGACAGATCGCCTTTCCTTGCGGCCCATTGCTGGCGCTACTGCACAGCTACGTTTCGAGGCTGGGCACAGACAAGGAACTACTGTAGCACTACATCATGATTTTCAGAGACTCACGAAGGATGTATGGTGCGTGTTTGGGATGCGAATTAAGCAGCCTTTCTGTCGTGATACCCGGGACTGTTGGGCCAGTTGCGCTTGTTGAGAGAGCTTTGAGATGCTTTCAGGCGATCAGATGGTTACAAGTTCCTGATGGTGCGCAGCGAGCTCGTGCAGCTTCCATTCCGTGACATGCAACCTATTGAGCTGCTCAACAACACTGGTCACCTGCTCGAGCCCATACCTGTGTGTCAGTTTCAGAGAAGAGTCAACGAAGAGAAGTGAAGCACTGTAGTCTGCGGCGTCGAGGAACGTTTCACGATGCGCAAGCCGAGCCTTTGTTCTTCATTGGGGTACGGAAAGAAAGATGGCAGGTCAACATGCTCTCGGCGCCCAGTGCGGCAGACGGAGTAAGCCCGCACAGAATTTGTACTGCATGTCAGTGTCAAGGCTCGACATGTCGCACCAGAATCCAGAGTCAGCATCCCTCACTACGTACAGCTGACGGCAGTGTCAGACTTTGCCAGGTCATCTCGGATACCTGGGTGGAAGTTCTTGAGGACCGGCCGAAAGCTCGTCTCGGCTTTTGCCATCCAACCTCCTGCATTGAAGGATCTCCGCGCAAGATTGGACGTATCAGTTATCAGACTGTGAGAGTTTCATACTCGCCTTGTGCACGCCGTGGGTCCTCCTGTAGCCCCGCTATTGTCGCATACGACAGGCAGTGGCACACTGCAGTATCACTATCCTGAGATATCCTGGGTGCCCGAGGGGAGAGCGTACCTGCGAGAGGCCCTCTCGATCGTGTCAGTGGTGTGCAACGTGGCTGTACTCGCTGTCTCCGGAAGCAGGCAGGCTGCTCTGCCTTAGAGCAGCGTGTGGGAGTGTCTTACATGGTATGGAAATGAGAATGGGACGCCAAAGTTGAACAACAAACAATCAATGTTCAACCGAATACAGTACATCATCATGTCCAACTTTTGGGCGGCCGCCTGGTACGTGACCGAGTGACCGACTCGCTGGTTAACCTACTTTGTAGGTGGACCGCATTGTCCTTGGCGGTGCTGGAGCACGCGCTGCTCATCTTCAAGGTGGGGCATGCTCGCAGGTGCAGTTCAGACTCAGCAACAGGAGGAACATGATATGTTGAGACTGGGACGCTATTTGCGGTGATGATTGAAATCTTCTTCTGTCCGAATCTGGTTTCTTGCACGCTCCTCGATGTGTTTCTTACCAGTAGCATGCAGTGGCTCAAGCTTGGGGTTAAGCCGCATGTTGGTATATCTGCCGAGCAGGCAAGGGTTTGCAGCAGCATGGCAGAATCAGGGAGCAGGACATGCACGTTGCAAAAGACGGGAACTGGGCCTCGAGTGCTCCCTGATCCTCTCCAAGATGAATTCAGAGCCGGATCAGCTTTCGACGGAGGCCCGGGACAGGCTGGAAGATCAGTCAGAGATGTGCTTATCGTTCAGCCTGCTTGCAGGCTTCAAACTACGTTCCACCGTTCGGATCCCGGACCTCATCCTAACAACTTTGCACTCTGTGCAGTCTGGATCAGGCCTGTGCCATTGGTACCGTGCCTGGCCGTTGGCCCGCCAATCTGGGGGTACCAGCAATGGCTGCAAGTGGCGCCGGGAATGTGGCATATGCCTCAGTCTCTGTGCAAAATCCTGTTCGGCTGACGCCGCATGCTTGTGCACTCAGCCGTGTTCCCAACAGAGGTGTGGATTATATGTCGAGCCTTCAGTATGTTTTCCTGCAGGCAGAGCCGGATGTCGGACTGAAGAAAACCTAAGAGCATACGGCTGTGTGGCTGGTAGATGCAGAATGGTAGGGCGTGGATTCAGAGATGCTTGGCGCACGGCGATCACTGGTGTGGAGGCTTCTCCTCCGTTCCTATGTTCAGCGTGCCGAAGATGGACTCTTTTCCTGCACCTTGCCTCATCACGAGCGATGAGAGTGGAAGCACGGACATCACGGACCAGGACCCTCTGTTGCGGGGAGGTTAGGCCAAATAGCTTATGGTCCTTCATCAGCACCATGGGCATGGCCAAAGACCTCTGGACTCTCAGCAAGCCGCCAGGATGAATTTGCGGGCTTGGATGCTGGAACGGCATCGAGCACGACTTGCGAGGACGCAGTCCTGTGCGAACCTTGAGGGCGCGCAGTTCTCTCGGTCGTGTTCCTGGAGGGGCTCTTGGACTTTAGCCCGGCCTGTGGCCAGGACTACCCCGAAGATGAAGAGAGCGATGCTGCTGCCGGTCTGCACTATCGGCATTCAGATCAAAGGCCTTGCGGTGTAGAGACATCCAAGGTTGAGCTCCGAGGGCTGCCATTTTCAACAACCCTGGAGGCAGAATCCCACGTCGCTTAGAATGTGGAGATACTTGTGGCAGCAGCTCGCTTTTGCTACCAGGATATTCGGGGGTTCCTCAAGGAGCATTCTGCTCAGTTGGCAGTGCGGAGCTCAGTGGACATTCTGATCTGGCTTGGAGCTGTCCGTGAATAATTCCTTGCCTCGAAAGAAATGCAACGCGCTAGGATACTGGAATTGTCCTCAGCGCCGGTGGCCGAGCAGTTCACTTGCAGGTTTGCACCGTGCTTTCCCTGGGTTGCAAGTGCGGTTGCAGGTGGCCTTCGAACTTTCCAAGGGATTTTGCGTTGCTGTGGCACATGCACCACATGTCCTCGATCAGTGTGGCTTGCTGAACAAAGGTTATGAGGGATGGGCGCCCCTCTGGCATTGCAAACGTCCACTTTCGCACGAAAGAGGTGCGGGAACTGGAGCAGCGGAAGTAGTGCGACTATGTGCGACTGATCGGAAGCCATTCTGTGCGACGCGTTGTAGGCCTCGCTTCACGCTATTGATGCGCTTCACATGCAAGAACTTGGCGGCCGGTACATCGAGGCTCTCTGTCGGTGGAGAAATGATCCGATGAAAGATCCACAGATGATCAGGTGGGCTTCCGGGTGGAACGACGCCTACAGGCACGACCGCAAAAAGCTCGAGGAACAGCGGCGGAACGTGAGGAGCCGCATCTCGCGCTGAATTCTAACAGCAAGTTGGAGACGGTTCCAGTTTCGGACCGGCATCCTGCAGGAATCGCCGGTGACGCCGCGCTGCAAAACGCCTGCCTTTATTCTGAGGCCCAGGGAGTCCGAACATGTTGCGCATGCCCTGTCCACCACGGCAACGAACATCGAAGCCCATGTGCTCGAGAAGCTCGGTGGCCAAGCACGGACCTGTATGCGAGTACCAAGCCGCGAGGACGCCTTCGCCGCCGCGATTCTGGAAGCAGGAGCCAGACTGAGCGGTTCCGGTCGCAGTGCTCGCAGTCATGCAGTTGTAAGGCTGATGCACCTGCACCCGGTAACATAGGCAAGCTCGCTTGTTCACAGGAGTCTAACCAAGACGCATCCTCCTTTCTCGGAGCCATGAAAGCGACAGGAGCTTCCGACCTTCAGGGAAAGACGGGTTCACGACCCAGACAGTGCCTTCCTCTGACCAGGAGAATTCATGGTGCCGGAAATGTACGTGAAGGTGCAGCTGAAGCCGCTATCAGCTATCACTCGTCTCCTAGCAAGACTCGAGGTCGATGTCCCTTGAGTCAGCTGCGTCCCAGAGGAGAGTGCGAGCGAGTTGCGTCGTGACGGAGCATTTGGCTCGGACAGGTAGAGAAGTTGGCCGCTGTAGCCAACGGCAGACATGGTCGCACATGGCTCGTTGCCTACGCTCTTAGGTGCCGCCGGTGCTGCGGTCGACGGATCTAAGGAACCCAATGCCAAAGCCGAGTCTGCACCAACTCAGGAAGTCATGGTCACTGAGGATCAGAAGAGAATGTGTGCCGCCGTCCACTCCTCGCAGATTTATGCTTGCCTAAATTGTGGGACCACGCTGGCCGAGAAGGCCACCCAGCTGCGTCAGCGCAATTTTTCAGAAGTTGGCACCAGTGTTGACAAAGATGGCATGGGGTGGCCTTCAGTAGCGGCATATATGCTACGCAACAAGAAAGACGATGGCCGTGGACTGTCTGGGGGTAGAGCTGCCACGATGTCCAACATCGAGATGTTTCAGCGCGACAACATTTTCTTTTGTGGCCTGCTCGGCAGCCTGTGTGGTAGTGCGTGGAATGCCAACATTTGCCTCAGCTCTTTTTGCACCTATGCCCGTGGCTGCTGTGCAGCAGACGTGGCAGACGAGTCGCAAGTGAGTTCAACATTGGACGATGTTTTCTTCAACGAAATTTTCAACAAGCATTTTGGGGGCACGCTGCTTCGTGCACCGTCCCTGCATGAGGACACCTTCGGAGTGGAGAATGCAGTTGTCTGCGATCTCCAAGAGTCTCTCGTGGATCTCGAACTGAGGCAGGGCCGCCTCTTCCAGCCTTGTAAGGTTTTCTTCAAGCAAGATGAGAAGCTTGGCCTCCTTGTCGAAGCAATTGCAGTAATGGACGGCGAGAGCTCACAGCCTGCGCTTTACCAGAAGCAGACCTCTTCTCTCAACGAATGGCTGTGGGCAAAGCGCATCGCGGTTGCGGGGGCATTGCAGCGCCACCAGTTCGAAGAGCACCTGGTACTTGGCCACATGGTCATGGAGACCTTCGTTGCCCTTGCCTACAAGCATTTGACTGCAGATCACTATGTGTTCAAGCTATTGGAGCCAATGTGCAGCGATGTGGGTTTCCTGAACCGCTCGTGGGGACTAGATTTTCTGTTGACCAACGACGGAGCACCCTACGAAGCCGTCCTGAAGTTCTTAGCGCCGCAGTCAATGCTCACCAGGACTAGCTTGATCGAGCAACTCGCGCGAGCACGGGAGCGTTTCGATCCTCGGTCCTGGTTTTGGTTCGACCAAGGAGGCTACATGAAGGGAGGATCCGGAGTGAAGGAGTCCACGGCTTTTCCTGTGCGGGACACGGCCGAGAAGCTCTTTGACGCGATGCTGCTCTGGACAAGCGCTGTGGTGGATATGTACTGGGAGGAGCAGGATGTAGCACTCCAGTCTTGGTGGAAGGCACTCTGGTGGAACCCGATGAAGCATGCAAAGCGGAAGCTTTCTCCAGACACTCTGTCGCACCTGCTTGCCACCTGTATTCTGCAGTCCACATATGTGCACGATTTAGCCCATGAAGCTTGGTTGCCTGAGAACCACTCTCAGCTAACCTGGACCTTGCGATCTCGGGCTCCAGGATCGACTGATCCCAGGGACTACCTGCCAACCGCAAAAGAGCAAAACACCCACCACTTGGGGCTGATGGCTCTCAACGGCTCCAGCCTTGAAAGCCCCATTCTGTCTTATCGAAAGGTTTTCCCAAAGGAGAGCCTCCAGCAACAGTTGAAGACTTTCGAAGACAGCCTTACACGAATCGTCCTTGCGACTCCTCACATGAAGAGCCTTGGCAGCATGTCTCACTGAACACCTTCGTGGTCGAACGCGGCACCAACCCGGAAAAACTAGACAGTGATCCGCTGGTCCGCTGTAAGCGGCACAAGGTCCGCACCTTCAATGCATTTTACATTGACCGAACTCGGCCCAAGGTGGCCGCTTTGCTGGCAAATGAATGCACATCAGAGCTTACGCTGAGATGAAAGAATAGCATCGTCGCTGCAACATCTGTCATCTGTTTCTGATTTGCAGCTTTCAGTTTCCTTGCTGCAGCCAGGCGCCGTGCCGAACAGATCTACCTTCAGTTGAAGGCGTGCTGCCTGTGACTGACTTACTTGCCAGACGACTTGCAGGTGCAATTATGATGTCAAGATTCGGGTCGTCTATGCAGATATCAACACTAGCATCTTCGGGCGCTGCTGTAGGTTTTCGTCCGGCAGGCCGCAGCGCGATGAGCTCTGCCGCCCATCGCTCTGCCTGCCCGCATCTTAATTCTTCAGTGAAATAGCAAATCCTTCCTTGCTGAAAGAATCAGAGTGTCAGACGTGAGGCTCTGAGCAGACCTCTCCTATGGATCTAAAGGCGGGAACAATGCCACGCACTGGAAGTTCGAGTAGGTGAAGTTGCCCAGGGTCACCAGCCGACACTGAATCAGGCACTCGTAAACCATCGCAAAAAGTCGTAATTAAACTTCATGGGGCACGGCATTCTGTCCCAGTCGCAAGTTGCCTGCACGGCGATGCTCGCTCTACCGCACCAGGGTGGCACAGACGACGCCACTGCGACAGTGCCTGGTTCACTTGTCGAAGACATTGTGCGCCTTGAACCCAGCGAGCTTGCAACGCTACGGCGTAGACCTCGATGGGGCTCGAGGCAAACATGGCTCCCTGAAGGCATGAGCTTGCCATGATCCCACGTCGGAGCGCACTTTGAAAGCGTCTGAGTAGCAGCTTTCAGAACATTTAGGAATCGGGAGATGTTGCCAAGGCTGGGCAAGACAGGAAGTACTTCTGAGACGCTCAGAACTCGAGGTTCCCCGCGCCTGGTTCAGTGATTTGACCATGTCTCTGGTTGCCCTTTGCTCTGTGAAGCAAACGTTGCAGCAATTGTGCTCTTCATGCATGGACGGCAGTCCGTTCTCAGAGTTGCCTACACTGTTCACAAACAGTTGCGTCGCGAGCTCTGCAACTTGCAAGACTTATTAAGATCCCTGCTGAAGGCATCCATAGCGCCATAGCATCTAGTGTGTTTGCATGGCAAATTGCCTGTCTTCGCCGTCGGCACCTCTGAAGAATCTCCATGGCTAACGCGCTTTTCTTGTGTGAGGCCCGGCTCCCAGACTTGTTGAAAAGCATCCCCGTTATATCAGTATGCACGAGAAGGTCCGCTTGATCAGCACATCTGCATACATGAGCATGATGGTTTGCGGTCAGATTTCTGAAGGGTTTGGGCCGTGGCTGTAGTTCGCCTCCTTGGCACTACGAGTCGAGGCCCTTCAAGCACCTGGGCATATGGCCAACGACGAAGAATGCTACCATGCTCCGGTGGCAGGCTCCGCACGCGTCATTTTCGGGGGTCATGCCATTATATGCAATTGCCCAGATTCAGTCGTCGTGGTTCCGTGGACTACGTCGGGTAACGGCAAGTTGGATGCGTTATCAAGATTTTTCCTTTTCTGGCCCAGGCGAGGACGGCGCAGAGCAAGGACCGCCGCCTCCGGATCATCCACGTGCTTGCTAATTTGACAAGTTGTGTAGACGCCAAGCCCTGTGCTGTGCAACGGCAGGTGTTTCAAGGTTTGCGTGCAACGGCGACAGCCGCATCCGATTCAATGCCGAGGAGTGGATGTTGCTAGGTTTGTGCAGAGCGCAATAGTGCCTGCATGGGAGACTGGAAGGCATGGCCTTGCCGCTCTCCTCCGCAGCTTCGCCGAGCGTCGGCTCCATGGGCAGAGTGCGGCTTCGAAGGCGAGAAGAGAGAAGAGAGACCAGAGAGGAGGCGAGTCGGGGACCGAGCCGCTGCCCTCTGCCCCGAGGCGGTCTCGGCTCTTGGCATGGGGCGAAGGCAGCCCAAGCGGCCCTCGCCTTGAGTGTAAGACGAATCAGACGACGCGTCGTTGTCAGGTGGATGGACGCGCTTCATTTGTTTACGACTGTGCCTCATCCCGATATCGTCACGATCAATGCGACAATGATCCTTGCCTGCCTTTCATTGCCCGGTCGGTCATACTTCCACAACCGCCAGGTTTGTGTTGTGCTGTGTCGTCATTGGACATAGTGTCTGATCTTGGCTCGGCTTTGCCGTTAGACTAGCTCCAGACGCACCTTAGTCCGGACTCACTGCAGCTTTGGCTGACTGTCGCGTAGACAAGCAAACTGCACGGACAACACTGTCGAAAAGAAGTACGCTCAGCCTAATCGGGTGTCGATTCGGAGTTCCTGGCCGTCATGGACTCAAAATCACTGGAGGGCAACGCGGAATGTGTTTTTCGAGGAAGGGCTAAGGGCGGGAGTCGCTCCCTACCTTGCTGTCAGGAGGTCCGATTTCTGCTGCAATCGTCAAGACTACGTGGGCACCCTCCAAGAATTCATGGTTACCGAAGTGCAGAAAGAACTGTTGGCAGATGTTATCCAGCCGTGGCTATATTCGCAGCTGCATGCTGGTGTCACTGCGGCAGACATGGCGAAGAGGTGGGTGCCAAGGTTACAGCGACGTCGTCGTCGGGAGACGGCGTCGCCCTCGAAAGAGCATGCCGTGGCCACAGTGCTCAATCACATCAGCAAAGGTCGGGTCCAAGACTTCGGCTGCTGTGAAGAGCATTAAGAAAATGAAGATGAGTGAGAAGGGCGATGAAAGAAGAGAAGGTATGAAAATGAGAGAGGTTCAGCGGTCGGCACCGTCCAGACGCAGCTAAGGCACGAAGTCCCTAAGAAAGCGAGTCCTAAACCCTAAAACACAGCCTAAAACCAACAGAGAGTGCGGCCGGCACAAAGCTGCCAGCGTGACTGCGAGCTACGGCCAGCAGGCAACTGTCTGCGAGCTACGGTTTTTTTTTTTCTCTTTGTTTTTTTTTCTACTTCTAACTTCTAAGGTTGTCTACGAAAAACCTGCCAGGAGGCGCCAACGCTTCAGCGAGCAGCGGCCCCACGACGCAAAACTAAAGAACCAACTTAAAACCCGAAGCCATAAACTGCTATTCGCAGAAAGCCAGGCTGAGCCCCTTACCGCTTCACTGCAGCGATCGTCCGCCGGCTTTGCGTGCCAAAGCTCCAGCAGGTCTCATGCCAAGTCTCTCACCGCCTTGTTTCGCCAAAAAGAGCTGTATGGTTGGTAGATAAGCCATGAGAGGGCTGGCCGCATGTGCCCTGAATTCCATGATCATGAAGGTCTTCTTCGCGTTGAGTCGAGCCGTACATAAGGAAACTTCGCGGGCCACATTGACCATGTCGCCCGAAACCATAGCATCCAACAACACTCGAAGGGGCTCCGGACATTCGTCATCCTTGGCGAGCTCCACCAACACAGCTGAGGCCACCGCCGTACTGCACGCCCCGTAAGGGTGTGCCACTCCCGCCTTGTGCTTAGACTGCCATAAGCGCACGGCACTTAGGCAGAGCTGGGAGAACGCCGACGACTCCTCGAAGCGGTAGACCACCGTAGAGGAAGCCTGCAGTTGTCGGAGCTGGTAGTCGTGGTCCAAGTAGCCCCTCGTCAGCTCAGCACAGCTCAGGGGCTGCACATGCTGCCGAGAGGGCGCAGCGTTTGCGGAGCTGACCTCAGGTGGCGTCTTGGCTGAGCTGCCCGCGTCGGACTTGGACTTCTTGCTAACCGGGCTAGACTCCTTGACCACTTGAAGGTTTTGCAAGAAAGGGTTCGTCGCCATGGCAGTGGCTCGAAAACAGGCAGCTAGTAGGCAAAGCTCAGAGCTGCGAAAAACTGCGGAAGGGAAAAACGACTTGCCAAAGAGAGCTGGTCTCACAAGGTGTGCAGGAAGAGGACCCGCGCCAGGCCTCACGAGCCTGTCGGGCCTGCAGACCCAGGAAAGGCCCCCCCAGTCCTAGAGACTGAGGACGGCCGCCCCGGGCTCAGAGGCACTTGCACACTAATGTCAAAATGTGAAGCAAATGCAAGCCGGCATCACTCCCTAACGTGTCAGCGCAGAGGGAAAAATGCAGGTCGACTTATCAGAGTCCATGAGAAAGCTTTTTGTGCAAACTGAAAGCGCGGGTGCTGTAGTACCTGTCACTAGACCCTACACAGCTAGGGTGGTTGCACGCAAAGGCCCACCGTCCGT